ATCGGGACCCACAACACAGTGTGGCCGCTGCACTGAGCGGCACAGCTGCGCTCGCACCCCGTATCGCTGCAATATGCCTAGTTGGCATGTTTGCTAGCGGCGCCAGGGGTGGCCACCCGAAAACGGGCCAGCGAGACTCGAGAACTCGCCCAATATCGCGGCGATGGCCTCCCCCTCCGCGCCAAACGAGTCGGCGCGATGGCTCGAAATCTGGAACGTGCGCGCCGCCAAGCCGCGCGGAACGTGAGCACGAGGCGATGCGCGCCGGAGCAGCGCGCCAAAGCGTTTGCGCTGGCGCGCGTTTCCAGAGATTTCGGGTTTATTGCCAACGTGCGGTTGAGGACTGCAAAGTCTCCCGAGCATTCCGGACCCAGGTAGAACATGGTGTCGTCGGCGAACTGCAGGCGAGCGATCAGGCGACGCGCAACACCGAGGAACGCGAAGCCGGAGAGTCCGGTCCGGCGAAATATCCAAGCAAGGGCCCAATATAACACTCGATGCTATGGCGAAGAGGACGCGGACCATACCAACCGAAGAGTGATCAATGAGTCCTGTACGGAGGGATTGTTCGTGGCGGTTACTGGTAAAGGCTTGCAGGCCAGGCTCGATTAGGCTCATGAAAGGGTAGTCAAGAGAATTCTTGATTCATGGTATGTTTTGGAAGTTGAAACCTATAAACATGTCTTAAACCGAGATACAAAGATGATAGATGGCAGATAGATAACGGAGGGACATGAAGAGCAATTGTTACGCTATCGATGCATTCGCGTACATCATCGACAACCGCTGCTACGTGAATATAGTAAGAAAGCGAGAAGACGGGAAGGCCAGCAGCCCGGCCGGGTCTGTTGAGGGATCCCTGCGCAACGAAGTTCACAGAGCCAACCCCGCCATTAACACCGCAGCGCCAACGATCGCCCCACCGGCAACCTGAGCCAGACCACATGTACCGCTAGTTTTGGCCATGTCAGCACCCTCTTTTGATAGCCTCTCGCACACATTGGTGACTGCGGCTCCCTCCGTACCGACAACTAGCAATGCTTCCTTCTCCGTCATGATATTGGCAGGCATGACTATACCCGTACGAAAGCCGAGTTCGCCTGCAGATGGCTGTAAGCGCTCAACATCCGCAGCGGGTACGATATAGACCGAGACTGGCATCTGGGTCGCGATGCGATCGAGGCCGTCCAGGAAATTTTGCCAAGCAGTGATGCTCACGGAGCGGACAAAGGGGCGCGACGAAGGAGCGCGAAGGGGTGTTGACACGATTTGAGGTTGGGCGTCCTCACTGGGCACGTCGGGATTCCAAGCTTCCGTAAGTGGGCTTGATGGTGGACTGGATGGTTCGGTCACGAGCGAGCTGTTTGTGGGGTACAGCAGAGTTCCAGGCATAAGGCGACCTCGCCCTCGCCGAGTTCTCGCCTTCATGGAAGGATCCTTGATTGATCGAGATCCAAAAGGAGGAGCTGGGGTGTTCAAACCCCCCGCCACGGAACTGATATTCAATGAACCCAGAGCATCCGCGAGGTCAGAGACAGAAACACTCTGCGCCTCATCCATTCGCGGCTGCCCTGAGCAGCTCCCGCGAGAGTGACCCTTGCGAGGCAGTCCACACTGTCTGCAGTGAGGTCGCTTTCTGCCGGCCGGGGAAGCGGAGGGCATCTGATTAACGGACATCTCGAGAGAATGATAGGACAGTCCAGAGCGTGTGATAGGAGCCATGGCGTGCAACAATTGAGACAACAGCTAACAAGTTATAGCGTGTGGCGGCAACCTGTGTCCAGGCGCGAGATAGATAGACAAAGTCAGAGGCGTAGATCGTGGTCAAGTTCAAGTCCAACGTTCAACGTTCAACTTCGAGATCACGCATCTTCCATCAATCCAAGTTGAATCCAAGCGCCGCAACGCGCGAAGCAGCGCTCACAATCGCCGTGAGGCCTCGCCCGGCCCAGCGCTCTCATGAAGGTTGAATCCATCGCCGATTGATGATCTTTGTGCGTGATGGAAGCTGCTGTAAGACCCATTCTTGATGCCTTCGGCACATTTCTTAGTGGAGTCGTGTGTGTTTGGTAGTATCTGAAGCATCTCATATCGAGATAATATACACAGCAAGAGAGGCCCAAAAGAGCGCGGGACATAAGTTTACTGCAGGCAGAATTATACGTTACGCAAACGGGAAGCACGCTTCGGAGGCCCGGCTTCGGCGTCCAGATGCGACGCATCTCGCTTCTTCTCGTTGCCTGTAGGGGCAAGAAGCTCCACAAGTAGCGGGAGCTGTTTCGTATCCGTCACGGGCGTCGAGAGCTTCTATAATTGCGCATGTGAGATCGACGACTTGGGCGTCGTCGTCGTCGTTCTCCGTGTGGGTGTGAACTGCAATCGCGATGTCCAGGATGGTCGTGAGTTCCCGAGCACGGGGCAAAACATAGCCAGCGAAAAGTTTGTCACCGTTGTAGGCTTCCAGAAGAGCGTGCGCAATTGCTGCGATGCCATGCGTGCCGTGCATCTTGATGACGTCCGCAAGCGCCGAATGGCGATGCAGCGAGCGACTGTCAGATACCACTATGGCAGCGCTGGCATCGTGGTATCTGACAGCGACACCTGTAGAGAACTTGGGCTCCTTTTTGATGGGGTCGTGGAAGTTCAGCCCAAAGCGCGACTTGGACACAAGGGAACCCATCAGCGGTGTTTGTGCAGGCGCCTTTGCAGTCCTATCCTGATGGTCGTCTAGTCAGTGCACGTTCACAAGAGCAAGGGGAGAACTAACCTCGAAGTCGTTACGACTCTCCTGCAGCCCAAAGTGCACTGAATTCGTGATAGACAGAATCAGGCCAGTCGGAAGATGCTCGAAGAGCCGCTGCACCGAAGTCGAAAACACGAAGCATCCAGCGCTGCGGAGAAGCGGTCGGCTCCTTGCATCCTCCATTCTTCCTCGTAAATGCGGCGGCCTTGTGAGGTTTGATGTTCGACTTCGGAGACGCCTTCTGCGGCGAAGCCGACTTGTGTGCGCGCGCGCCTCTAGGACGGTCCTGGGCGCGCACGGAGAGCCCACGAACACGAACGGAGCATCTTCGTCTTCCAATGCGGCGGTGTCGTCACCAGGTTCGATATCGGCAAGCGGTAGAACACCGGGCAACCTCGGTTGCGACTGAGCGTGCGCCCGGGTATGTAATATCACGGACCACACCGGCATCATCAATGTCGGTGAACACGGTCGATTCCTTGCGAGGCTTGAGCGTCCCGCGGTCGACGCTTTCGGGCTGGCACACACCCTCCCCGATGAGCTCGCACTCATTGTCGCCAGTGTCATGCGTGTCCTCGTCATGTTCGTCGACAGCCGCAGCGAAACTAGGTTTGGCGTCAGTTCCGACGGCCTTGTCGGCGGGAGCATCGCGCCTCAAAAGATCGAAGCCTGGTGAGGAAGCACGAGGTGCATCTCGAGAAGGCGAAGTAGAGGACGACGGAGATAGACAAAGAGGTGTAGGAGGTCAGAGACCGGGCGACGGGTCGAACGACACATCGGGAGCGGGTACTGAGTTACGGGCGGATGAGAGCGCAGGCCTTGTCATGAGATCGTTTGAGCTAGCCGTTCCCAGAGGAGACGCTAACGGCAATGTGATTGAAAGAGCGAGTCGCTGAGTGTGTTTCTTGTGTCGCGCGAGAAGCAACACCGCACGCTGAAGTTCAAGATCAGTACGACGCCCCCGCGGATCGTTGGCGCCGTTGCCAGCCACGGTGGCAGAATCGATCCGTCGTGAGAGTAGTTCAAGCTCCTGGACTACGAGATCGCTCTGTGAAGTACACCAGTTAGACAGATGAAAAATGGGGATGTAGGCATAACGACGCGTACCTGTCGATACGCGTGCCGTCTCCTGCTTCACCTGCAACTCGATGTGTTCGACTTGTAGAGTCGCGAGCTCTTGTACAGCGAGCGGTTCGTTATTCGCGGCGGCATGTTCCACCGCGATCCGGGCATCACAGAGCTGGAGTTGAAGCACCCCGAGTAGATCCTGTACGGCGTGAGCTACGCTCACAGCCAGTACGTTGAAGTGCATGGCGAAGGGAGCGCATACCTCCAACATAACGAGATAGCAGCGGAAGTAGGAGTGGCGGATGGAGGTGAGCAGAGATTTGGATAGTCTAGTGATGGGTCCTCATGTGTTTTGACTTGACGAGCGCTGAGACCCGACCGCAATCAACGTTCAAGACCAGAACACTATGACTGTACAGGCTACATACCTGATACGGTTCGTAGGTCGTCTCGTGAGCTCCCCACTGCTTTGATGAGACTTGAAGAATGTGAGGGCCTGATCAGCCTGAAATGGGGCGACTATCGAGGCCTCAGTCGCCATGACAGGATGACGAGAGCGATCGGGGTGGGGGAGTGGACGGATGGACGTTGTTCGCAAGGCGAGCGGGATCCGCAACATTTCATGTTGGGTGTATTTCCTTTGGCAGCAGCCTCTGCGGTATGTATTGTTAAATGATAGCAGAGTTTTGCAGTGCTTTGGCTGAACGGCGAAGTTGATCTCTCGACTACTTCGTTTCAAGAAGTCCCGGGTTCAAATCATGCCCAGGACGGCAATCTTTTTGCGACCATTTTTCGCAGCCCATGAATTCACGAGGGGCTTGATTAGACATGGCCAGTACTTAATATTTCTAATGAGCACACAAGCCGTTCAGTATCACACGTCGCCCACAGTTGCTTGACAGACAGAGCGCGCACTAGCGCTCGCGGGATCTCTCCGTGTGAATGTTTCCGTTTGCTGGCAAGTGCGAGCGGGTTGTTTGCAACTTTCGGCGCTCTTCACGTAGTACTTTGCGAGTTGTGCAAGGATTACCTCTAACACCCGCAATGAGGTTGTTAAACATATGGCTAACTTCCAACTTGTACCTCTCTCTCTGCTCTTCCTTACTACCCGAACATCGACGGTCCGACCCGGACGAGAACGAGCCCATCTCCTGGTATGCTCTCGTGCCACAACCACCTCACGGCGCCCTCGCACAACAGGCGGAGACGTGGACGACGCGGAACGAGATATATGCACAAAGGGAAAGATCTCTTGACATATGGCTGGCGAAACATTCAGCCACTTGCTTCGGTGGATCGCGAGAGGGAATGGCTACTATCGGACAGTGTCTGGTCGCCGAATGCGCCAACCCCTTCGCCAGGTGCACAGTGTACTCAGGCAGCTCAGCAGGCTCGGTTTTGTCCCCTCCGGTCTGATAGCGTCGCGAGACGATGTGGACTACGAGACCGGAAGGTGCATCAGCTCTGCTACTGTGTGATGAGAGCGATGATCGTCCCATTGAAAGCGTACTGGGAGGCTACGTGCCGTCCTTGGTTGCCCAGTTTGGTTTCGACTCCATCGCCGACGATATGGATGCCGTGCTGTCCGCGATACATCGAGCGCTGAGGATTTTGCTACCTCCGCCACCTGTATCTCGGTATCACCTTTCACCACAGTTTGTCAAGGGTATCGAAGACCTGGTGGCCTATATGGACGACATGCGGTGGTCCGCGCTTAATCGTATCGCCTACGTCCGTATGCGCCTCGGTGCGGCGTCGGTAAATGCGATCCGCGGTTTTGCACACCCAGTGTGGACGTATCCCTCCGCGCCCGGCATGTCATTCTGGACCGCGTACTTACCATGTAATGCATGGCAATCATGTTGGCGCACTCATCGACAACCGGGTTCCCCTCGAAGATCGTCCTTCCTTACATTTGCTGCCCCAATCTGGTGTTCTGTTATGGTTACGGGACCGCGAAGAACCACGCCACGAGCGCGAAGCGGCTCTGCGATACCGCCGTTTTCAGAACGAGAACTTGCCAGTCAGGTCTGCTCAGCGAGCCACCGCTGTCGATGATCATCGACGTCGGGACGAGCGCGAACCGCCGGGGCCGCACGGAATAGTTGTCCAAGTGAACTTGCTACTTGACCCGGGCTACACTCTCAGCCACTTTATCTACTAGGGCGCAGTCGGCCCACCAGTCGGTCCGCGAGAATGTCATGCAGACGTCGATCACCCCAGTTTCCACCCATGTCGCTGCACGCAGCCTCTGGATCAGGCGGCACGGATACATTCGCGGCTATCCCCGTCCGGTGTACATAACATTCTTGACTTGGAGACTGTTGACCTCTCGCGAAGACATCCTGAGCGGTCGGGAGGCGTGTTCGGGTTCTTGGGGCAGGAGACTCAAAGCGCCTCTCACAGCGAATTCGGACGATGATCGGTTTTATTGAATGGCCGCCGGCTCGTCCACGCTTCGCAGCGCGACTTTTGGCTACCCCCTCCGGAGCACGCACCCGCGTTTGCTCCAGTCGAGCAGCCCGTGGAGCTGGACCCGCTAGCGCAAAGCGTCGTGTGACCATGTCGCAGGAGGAGGAGGCAGCGTGGGAGTATTTCGGACGTTCCCGAAGCATGTCTAGTCTAGTTGCTTTCTTTCTTGAATCATCATCTACTATACTTACAATAGACTTGTCTGAAATTTCGTAGTCCCGGCCTCTCTTTACTTCTCGTCTCTTCTTTCGCGCATCGATGTCAATGCTCTCGGCTGCTCGAAGGGCGACGCGGATGACCGTCGCGTCCTCTCGAGGAGCCCGTCAAATTCTCGCGGGCACTCGTGCATCACATCGCCCTCGCCCTCGCCCTCGCCCTCGGTCTCGGTCTCGGTCTCGTACTAGGCATAGCCACCACCGCTATCCCGACTACTCCCTACGCTGTCTACTAGTTTCCGCCCGTGGCCCCATTCAGGCGTCACAGAGGTGGACACATCCGGAGCTAGTACTAGCCCTACGTCCTGGTGGTCTTCGACATGTCCAAAGCTCTTCTAATCACGCCAGCACCGCTGGCTGCAATAAAAATCATTCGACACATGTTTCTGGGGGTCCGTCCGCATCGCGGGCGCGGAGGGAACTTCCCGCCACGGCCGCGGGGTGTACAGCACCGCGTATACCTGCCGCTATGCGACTCTCCAACTCTCCTTTTTCGTCCATGGCATCGCAAGCCACTCAAGAGTCGCGCGGTGCGGATCACCGTGACGCCGTCTCGTCGCTGACGGCTCGCGATACCTAGCCTGCCTGCTCTTCCCACCCCTCGGAGGCACGCCAACTCCGACCCTTCAAGTAGCCTTTCGGGGCTTGTCGCAGTCATGCGAGTCAAGGTACGACTCTCGATGCGCGAAGTCAACGAATCGCAAGACGAACTACCGCCACGATTCCGAATGCTTATTCGCTACGAGAGTTGCCACAAGTACCTGCGATGCAAGGACCCGATGTAGTTTGAGCACGATACCTCGAGATGTACCAACAGTCGGGACGTAACGGCTACCTCGAAACTAACGTCTCCACCATTGAGGATTGCTCAATGCCTCACACGTGGACCGTTCCGACTCTCTGAGTGAAGACGCGCCAGCTCGGCTACTACTACGTTGCTCCGGGTGGAAGAGGTGCAAGCTCATAGCATCACGAGGATCGCCTCATGAACGGATGCCGGAGGAAGGGGTGGGCGCGTATATGGACAGCATCGCGATGCATCGACAGGCAACAAGGGATGCTATGGCTCGCGGTCAAGTGAAACGAGCCGAAGCGTGCGACATCGGCGATTAGATGTTACTCAACCCGCATACCTTGGAGTGGAACGAGTCTAAGGGCGCAAGCAAAGAACGCTGGGACCTTTTACCGTCACCGGAAGGGTTGTAGATACCACCTATCGCCTGCTCATGGACGACAAGTATCCCGGTTTGTGTATATTCAACGAACATCTACGCAAGTCCCGTCGGTCGCCAGCCGGATTCGGAGAACGAGACACCCTTCCGAATCATCTGCGCGCGAAGCCAGCAAGAAAAGAGCAACTTGTGGTGAAGTAAATCGGGCATCCGTGGAACAAGATGATACTTCTCCTTATGACTCGTGGTCCACGGAAGCATACTTGAGGAACGCGCTGGGCCACCTGGCTCAATACCGCGCTTTACAGGCAGAATAATTAGTCACGAGATCGCGACGTGGGAACTCCGTCACGTCGCGCAGCGTTTGCTGGCGCGCGCGCAAGTCGTCTTCCACTTTCACTACAACCCCTCATTTATCGAGTCGTGTGAGGATTACCTCGGAACACTTGATATGAGGTGGTTGAACATCTGGCTTACTTTGAATCTTTACTTCTCTCTCTGCTCTTCTTCGCCCGACAACTCGAATGCTAACATGGATGAAGATGAACCCATCTCCTGGCATGCCCTGGTGCCGCAACCGCCTACCAATGCTGTCGTCCAGCAAGTAGTTACGTGGACGACGAGGGAAGAAATCAATAGCGCCACCGAGGGATCGTTCGTGTTGTGGCTCACGAACCTGGAACAGCTTGCTACTGCTGATCGGTCCAGCGAATGGATGGGGTCCGACAGCATCTGGGCGCTCGCCTCGCCGCTACGCGTGCCCCTGCCTGCCGGCACTCCTAATTGGACTTCGTCGGACGAGGCGCGCTTCGGTACTTGGGTAGTCTGTGGACGTCGGGAGCCGTTCCCGCCGTGCGATCCTGGCCCTCCTCCGTTCGCCAATCGTACCAACACCTTTGCCAGGCGAACGACGTACCCGGGCAGTTCAGCAGGATCGGTTTGGCCTCCGCCCGTGTGGTACCGCCGAGCTACGATGTGGACGGCTTGGTTGGCTACAAGGCCGGAAGGATCGTCGGCTTTGCTCTGGCGCTACGAACGCGACGACCGTCTCATCGAAGAAGTACCGGGTGGTTATGTGTTATCATCCGTCGCCGAGCTAGGCTTTAACTCGATTGCTGATGACGTGGAAGCCATGTCGTTGGCAGTGCACCGGGCGTTGCACATCGTCCCTCCACCTCCGCCGGTCCCTCGGTACCATGCTTCGCCTGAACTCGTCTTCAGACTCGAGGACCTGGTCGCGTACATGGACGACATGCGATGGGCCGCCCTCAATCATCTCGCCTACCTGCGTATGCACTTAGGGGCCGCCTCGCTCAACGCCATTCGCGGTTTCGCACCTCCAGGCTGGTCGTACCCGTCCGCCCCCGGCATGCCCTTCTGGGTGGCCCACGATGCCTACCACGTGCGCGGCGGCACCCATGTCGGCACCCTCATCGACACGCGAGCTCTCCCGGAGGATTGGCCCTCACTGAATATGCTGGCCCAGTCTCGCGTCCCATTCTGGTGGCTGCAAGGTCGAGAGGAAACTCTCCACGAGCGCGAAGGTGCCTTGCGGTATCGCAACTTTCAGAACGAGAACCTGCCTCGTATATCAGCTTGCCGCGCTGCTGTGGCAGATACCCGCCGACGTCGGGAGCTGCGCCAGTCTACAGGGCCGTATGGAGCTGTGACCCGGGCGATATTGATGCTGGACCGCGGCCAAACGCTGAGTCTGTTTCTCGAACGGATACAGTCGGAGGACCAGGTGGTACGCGAGGACGTTGCGCAGATGTCCATGACCCCCGTTCCTGTGAGCAGGGCGGCTCGCAACCTCTGGATCAGGCGGTACGAATATGTCCGCGGTTATCCTCGCCCGGGCGACATTACCTTCCTGAGCTGGCGGCCCTTGCTCTCCCGTGAGGATGTTCTCAGCGGTCGAGAGGCACATACCAGTTCATGGGGCCGTCGACTCAGGGTACCAGCAGCGGGAGGATCGGACGGCGAGGACTTGTACAGCGATGACAGCGACTATGACTCGGATAAGGCGGACGGCATGCTCTTCTCTGACACTCGCACTTGGCCTCCCGCCCCCATGCCGGTATTCCCAGTGCGTCCTGCTCGCCCGCCAGCTCGTCTGCAATTCGCACAACGATTCAGCGCCGCTCCCGCGGAGCGTGAGCTCGCGTTCGCGCCGCGTGAGCAGACCATGGACCTGGACACGCCTAGTCAAAGCGAAGTACCGCCTCGCCCTCAGAGCCCGTCAGCGCAACCCGTCTCGCCGATTCCGACCCCACCCGCCAGACACCGTCCTCAGCCTACGCCGCGCAGGGGTATTGTGATCTCCGATGCGAGCACCGGGAAAGGAAAAGGCAAGCGTCGTGCGGATGCGGACGCGGACACCGTCGACGGCTTCTCTGTGCGGGACTTGCAGGCAGCCCAGGGGGCATCCTCCCAAGGTGGCCCATATACCATGCCATCCGCGGGGGAGTCGTCTAGTGTCACGTTGGATCAAACTGGGCAAGCTGGCGGAAGCAGCCTTCTGGCGCCCCTGGGTAGTCAACCAGCTGGTCGTAAACGTCGTCGGGGAGCGCAGCACCGAGATGTGCCGTTGGAGGGCCGGTTCGAAGGTGGTGCACCCTCTACCACGGCGGAGACGTCTGCAGCATCGTCTAATCCTTCATCGACGACGCCAGCCCGGCAAGGTCTCGCGTCAGGGCCTTGGCCTGCCCAGCCACCTCGTCGCCCGTTGGATCTCGATTCGCGGTGGCCTCAGTTGCAGGTCCGCTGGCCTGGTGCTCTGGTATCGACGGCTTCCGAGGACTTATCGCGGGAAATGCGTAGCATCTCTCCATCTCGGGACACCCGCGTTGTTCACGACGCGCCGGCTCCAGTGCAGCGCGGACGTTTGCTGCTACCACCGGCATCGGCTCTACGACTTTGGTGGTGGATGGAGCAACACCCGTACGCTCTAGCTCCCGCGTTCGTGCCATGGGCGTTGGCGCGTGGAGTACGATTTCTATGGGGTGCCCCGGGGTCAGCCCTGCCCAGATTGCCGGACCCGCTCGGTGGAGGTATGCCTCGAGCTACCCTGCCATGGTACGAATGGGTCCACGACGTTGTGGAGGTTCTTCGTCGTCCCAACGCTCGAGCATTCTTGTGGGACGGTGGCATTCTGTGGCGTCTGGCACTTGAATTCAGGAGCGATCTTCTCGCTGAAGCGGGTTCGGGTCCATCTGCGTCTGCTTCGCTTCTTCCGGCGCCGTGGCCTGGGTCGTTCGTTTCGGACACTTTGTCGTCCGCGGAAGTCAACCTCGTCATCGGCCGCAGGGCAGATGGCTTGTCCTGGTGGCCTCATCCCGACACCTGGGACGCCGGGCTGAGCATAGGCGAATGGTGGACGGTGCACGAGGACTGGTTTAGCGTACGCCTGCAGGCCATCATTGCGGGCGACGCCGTGCCATTGGCGGACACCGCGTGGTACGGGCATATACGGGAATGGATAACGTCAGCCAGTCGCCCTGTGTTCCACGCAGGAAACCTTCGTAGAGTTTCGCTCTTGACGACCTTGTTGGACAACGACTGGCAGGAAGCTCTCGCAGACGGTTTCGTCCGGCTGACTCTAGACGATGGTAACGGGTCGGACATGGACGAGGATGGACAGTAGGTTCGGTATCGCCAAAATTGGGGGGCTCTGTCGGGAGGCAGCGTGGAAGAATTCCGGGCGTTCCTGAAGCATATACCTAGCTTGATTGGTTCTCTTCGTAGACTATCATCATCTCACTAATAAACTCATGTCCTTCTTGCCGACGCGTATATAATCGGCCTAAGCCTCAGGCTTCCTTTACTAGGCAACTCGAAGGGCACTGCGGATGATCGTCCGAGCCTCTCATCACCTTCAACTCGCTCTCGCATCAAATGAAGCCACCACTTCTAGCAAGGGAAGGGAACATGGTGGCCCCGAGAAAGAGCTTGACTTCCGGCTAGTGTCGAGCCTGCGCCTGTCGGTGTGGGCCGAATCACTCGTGTGAAGATCAGAGGCAGCATTACCTTGACAAAGCGTATGTGCTTATCGGATATTGTACAGTATGTGGTGAGTCAACAAGAATACAAGAAGGTGTGATACAAATATCAGGTCAATAGTACGACGACGGGATCACGTAGAGGCAGCCTGTATCCATGTCATCTGCGGCACTTTCGAATGTCGTTTTGACCGTAAGTATCTCTACTCTTGCCTTATCCGTGCCAGGCTCTTTCCCACGAAGCCATCTCTCAAGGAATCTAGAGGCCCGAGTGGTTCTCTGCGGACTCAACTCCTCCAGCAACTCGAAGACTCTGACACCGTCATCTGGCACGCTAGACGCAGAGAGCTGCAGCAGCGTCAGCAACTCCTCGCCAATGAGCTTGAAGATGGCATCGAAGGTGCCGTTGTCGCGCCTCGATGCGATCAAATCGGCCACAAGTCGCGAAAGACCGGTTGGGCCGTGCATCCTCTGTACGTGTATGGCGCGCATTCGTCTGAGATTGGCCCAAGACACAATGGTGTGACTCTCGAGACCCCAGGTGAGGTTTCTATAGTCTCCTAGAGTAGGAGGTTCATCTGCCTGTAAGCACAGACCGATGAGCCAATGCCATTTGGGACATGAAAGAACATCAAGCATACCTCGTGTTGCATCCGGAGGTCTCGACTATTGGACGCATTCAGAAGACTGCATGCCAACTTCGCCGATCCTTTACTCCAGGCAAGTGCAATGTCCATGATGTCTAGCAGACGCGAGGCATATTCGAGCTGATCGGGCAGTGCATCAGTGTGGGACCTTGTCGGAGCTTATGTCTTTCCTCACTGCACTCGGTATCTCATCCTGTTGGGTCATAACTAAGCTGACGGAGGCAGCGAAGAGCGAAGAATGATGGGGCGTAGGTGAAGCAGTAGCAACATCGGTCGTAAGATATACTGACCATTTCAGCTCCCATCCCACGACTTGGCCGCGCGAGCTGATAGAGCCTCAAGGTGCTGGGGTCCTCGTGCTGGAACGATGAGCCGACAAACAACGCTAGTGCCTCCGTTCCCATCCCACAACTTAGCCGCGCGAGCTAATAGCGCCTCGAGCCACCGATTTCCTCCTCGTGCTGGAACAATGACTCAACAGGCAACGCTAGTGCCTCTGTTTCGTTCCCATCCCACGACTTCGCCGCGCGAGTTTATGATACCTTCACTCCGACGGCCATGGGTAGGACAAGCGTGCTCAGAGCTGGACTAGGCAACACTTCGTATCCTCTAACGAGACATAGGTGCGTTCTATTCTGACGACGAAAGTGCGTACAAGGACTCGAAGGCTGAGACCACTGAAAGGAAGTTGGGCCGATACATCGTCAACGGCCTCGCGCGCGGTGTCTCGATGCAAGGAGGTTCGGGCCACACTCGGCGACTACCTTACTACCTGAGAACCCCCAAGCGCCCATGTGCGCCTCTTCTATCCACAGATATGCATGGATGCTTTTGCGACTCATTACCTGATGAACATCTCCGGCCCGCCAATAGTCATTGCCTCCCGCACGTAGAACGCGAACGTCTTGCTCTCTCATCTACGATTCGGTTGCCAATGCATCGTGTACTCTAGCACTCAAAGTACGGAAGCGGCGCCTGACAGCATGACGGTATGCGGAGCACGCAGGCGCACTGGCCCCACGGATCTTTCTGGCATCTCCGAGATCTCCGAGCCAGTGTCGGACGGCCGAACGATGGGACCGGGCTAGCAGAGTTTAACCGCTCGCAATGCTATCTACTAGTCTCCGGTTGTTGTTCCGAATCTCACACGGATACCAGCCTTGCTTACCAGATATCACCGCCTCAGACTAGTGAAGCAAGGCCCGTTCGGTTTCATCGTCCTCGAAAATGCGAATTCAAGGATGGAATTGAAGAGCTGAACGTCTCTACTCCAAGACAAAGCTTGAGTCCAAACACGTATTGAGATAGAGTCAGTTATGCCTTGGCTCAACACCACTGTCGTGGCAAAGCGGCGATGAAAGCCTTCGTTGTTTGCATTTGTAGCCGCGCGTCAACAAGTCGGTATAGAGTGCACACGAGTCTATGATCATTCTTCCACCCCCTGATCCAGTCGATTAGCTCGGCTTGTTTTATAGCGAAGTTGGACACTTACCTTTCTTGGCACCCTCGATTGCAATATATCGAACGCTTACACGCACTGCATCGCCCGTAGTCCTTTATCTGGTGATGACAACTGTGACACAAACGGCGCAAGCTCGGCCAAATACACACAGCTGGTCGCAGAGCGTGTAATTGTGCTGTCGATAGGCTCTCGATCAGGCTCTCGGCAAAGACAAGGGACTCAGAATATTCTGAAAGCAGTCTCGTGGCAAACGACGTTTGTTCCTGCAGTCCTTCAACGGGAAGAGATATTTGCTCAGCAACGTCGAGAAGGCACACAGGCTCGAAGTTCATGACGGAACTGTCGCGTCGAGTCACCGATATAAGATCCTCGAGCAATCCCGTGTAATAAACTCCGGAATATTGGCTGCGAAGTTGGCGATAAAACGGGCCGGCTGGCTGACCGCTGACTCTACTAAGGTATCAGTATGCTTCATGCGCCACGATTCGAATATAGTACCGGCGGTGGGTGAGGATGTGATGTAGCTGCTGCCAAAAGAATCGCCGAATCTCGTCAGGTAACTTGACACTCGTGCCGCTCGTGCATCGCATATAACTTTGATGGGCAAGATAGTTGATGGGCTTCATGTAGCGCGCAAAGTCTTGTGGACGCTCTGGGGAATGTTCATAACAGCCCTGGATTCCAACGACGTGGAAGGCTCTCAAACTGTACAACCTATAGGTCATATCGACTGTTTTCAGCCACAGAGGATGATGCTTCGACGAGTGTTCAGTGAGTGCTACAATATTCATGTGAGAGGCCAAGATCAACTCACGTTCCAATCCTTTTGTATAAGTTCGATCAGAAGCCACAGGAGATTTGTGACCTTGACATAGAGGATCTCGCGATGGGGAAAGGGGGTACGGCGTCGCTCCGATTCGAGAGCAAGACCTTTCGCACGCGCCATCGCTCGCAAAACTGCAAGTACGGGTCCGAAATCCTCGTCCGCTGCACGTTGAAGCTCGTCGATGATCTCAATCGCGGTAGACATGAAGGGGTCCCAGACATGAGCAGCTAAGACGCTAGGCGTGGTCATGGTGAGAGACCGGTGGATGCGGCAAGTAGTATCCCATGACGTGTGTCAAGGCCCATTTATAACGGGGTCGCTGTCTGGATTGACTGATGAATGCACCGCCTGTTCCTTGGTTCGAGACGCTTGAGAGTCTAACTCTATCACACTAAGGCGGGCAAACCAATTTGTCGAATGGGAAACCCCATCAGCGCCGGAAACACTGTTGTTAGACATCAATAATGGACGGCATGGATGCTTGATAGAACTCAGGGCCCTCGGATAGGAGCGGTTGCTGACATCCAACGTCTGAAGTCCAAGATACTGAGAACCCCGCGAAGCTAGACCTGCCTAGGGGAGACCAGCTGAAACGTCGATGCACAGCTGAGCTGTGTCATCACCGGGGACTCCTACGAACTCCGATTGTATGATTTGTTCGCAAGTCAAGGGATCCATGTCATGGATGTATTATCAATATTGAATACGCAAGTCGGCTCGCTAGCCGTTTGGGCAGTGTCCGGGGGGCAAGTGGGGTTCTTAAGGAGGGCATAGGGCCCAGCTAGTATCAGGTCGCGCATTTGTTCCACTATCATTCGATGAGTGAGCATAGGTGATATATGAAAAGCTAAAGCATACCTAGTAGTCAGGCTCGGACTCGACTATGACTGTAGTGATGATTGGCGCATGAGCAATAGACGGAAAGGAATGGGCGAGGCAAACTCACCCCACTCAGAGTCCAGTTCCTGAACGGCAAGACCCGCAAACTTGACAGATAGATCCAAGGCTGCATCTACGCAAGGGTGACTCGGCACGTCATTATCATCGGGAGGGGATACAACAGCTGAGGCCGGCTTGGGGTGGGAAAAATCTGAAGCGAAAGTGAGTCGACGACCTACGAAGACGAAGAAAGTGCATACGAATTTGACTTAGGTCGAATGACTGACTCCGGAGCTCTCTCCCTGTCTGAGGGTGTATGACTTGCAGATTATCGGCGTCTTCTGACCTGCTCATGTCGGGGCCGAGACGACGCAGCTTGAGCTTGTGATAGAAGTTCCGGAAGCGACGATTGACAGCCTAACGCAACGTTCAGCACACCCATGTGCAGGATAAGATATGGTCACACCTGCTTAAAGAACATCTCACTATCCACCACATTAGGTGTACGGAAGAGTGGATCCTCAGCAAAGATGAGGTCCTTCCGCCAAGACGCCCATCTGCTCACAGCGCGAAACCCCGAGAAAGTGGGGTCCGTATCGAGGATGATGAGCGTAAACTCCTCCTCCAAGATTGTGTTAATGGCTTCCGTTTGCGCACGGCTCAAGCACGAGCCGCGCTTGGGGAGGACATGAAGTCGGATCATGAGTGGATAAGACGACGGTGCGGACAACGTACCGGGGCAGCTTTTATGAGAAATCAAACACGACACACGTGGTCGTGTGTAGCTTCGGCTTGATAGAGCGCCCAGTCCAGCGAGCGTACAGCAATGGAGTCTTGCGCGCTAATCACTGC